AGTTGAATTCACTCCCCCCCCCCCCCCAAGTTTCTATCTGCCTTTTCTTCATGTCCCCAGTTCTTGCCTAATTGTGCAAACTAGAACATCTAGTTCAATGTTGAATTCATGTTGTGAGGGCAGCCATCCGTGATTTGTACATGATCTTAGAGAAGCTTTCAGTATGCCAGGTGAAGTAGCTGTTTATTTGGGTACTTTTAAATGAAATTGAGAAAGTTCCCTGTACTCCAAGTTTGTGTTTTTATTATGAAGGGATGTTGAGTTTTGTCGAATATTTTGTGTGTATATTGAGAATTCACCTGATTTTTGCCCTTCATTTCATTGACATGGTATATTAATTTTTATATATTAAATGCACCTTGAATTCTTGGAACAAATTCTGCTTGATTGTGGAGTGTAGTCCTTTTTATATGAGTATTGTTGGTTTTTTTGTGCTAGTTTTTTGTAGTAGTTTTATTGGCATGTAATTAATGTACCGTACAAGTTAATGGTTTGAATATATTAAAAGGGTTGTGTAATCAATACGCTAGTATTTGAGGACTTCTGAGTATATATTCTAGAGATAATTGATCAGTGGTTTTCTTTTCTTTTGACATTTTTGTTTTTAGGATCACTGTAATACTGGTCTTAGATACGAGTTGCAAAGTGTCTTCTTTTTTTTTAAAGAATTTTTGAGCGATTGGTATTAATTTTAATTTTTCTTAGAATGGTAGAATTTACCAGTGAAGTATTTGAGCTTTTTCTTGTTTAAAGTTTTAAAGTTTTGAATTTAATCTCTTTGCTCATTACCAGTCTATTGAGTTTTGAAGGCACCCTGTAGCACAGTGGCTAACCATTCGCGGGTTACTAAAATCAGTGGTTCGAGCCCATCAGCTGCTCGCTGGCAGAAAGATATGACAGCCCTCTTCCGTATATATGACAGACTTGGAAATCTTCTAGGACAAGTTCATTCTCTTCTGTAGAGCCCCTCAGAGTTGAAATCAACGTGATGACAATGAATTTGGTTTTAGTTCATTTAATTTTGAGTCAGTTTTTGGAGCTTGTGTATTATTAGGAAATTTTCCACTTCACCTGAAATTATCTGATTTGTTGACAATGCATGTGTTCGCATTATTTCTTTATAATCATTTGTATTTCAATTAAAATGTCTCTTTAGTTTTTAATTTTAGTAAATTAAGTCTTCTTTTTTTCTTGGCCAGTCTACAAGAAGAGGTTGATTTTGTTGCTTTTTTTGTTTGTTTAAGACAACTTTAGGTTCATTAATTCCTGTTATTATTTGCTATTCTTAATTATCGCTTAAAGATACTAAAAGTGAGAAAAAAATTACATTTACCCACATATTTATCTTTTTTCTTACTCATTTCTTTATAATGATTCCTCCTTGAATTTCTTTATTTTCTTTCATTCTGATCTGCTGGCAATAAAATCTTCCATTTCTTTAATGTCTGAATGATATCCCATTGTATATATATTTCACATTTTCTTTATCCACTCATCTCTTGATGGACACTTGGGTTGTTTTTACCTTTTGACTACTGTGGATAATATTGCAGTGAGCACTGGTATACATATATCTGTTTGAATAACTGTATATGAGGGGGTTAAAAAAACAACAACCCGTGGAATCCCTCCCCTAAAGCTACGTATTTAATTTTTTGTTTTCACAACTTTATCACCTTCAAAGTACTCTCCATTACACTTAATATATTTGTCACAGCTGCGATTTCATTCTTGGAAACGCTTTTCAAACTCATGTTTGGAAGGCAGAAAGCACCTCCCTTGTTTTTTTCTTCACCTCTTCTATGTAGTCAAACTGCTGTCCTTTCATATCCCTCTTCTTTCCCATAAACAATAAAAATATCACACAGAGTAAGGTCAGGTGAATAAGGTGCATGGGGCAAGAGAAGCATGCTGTTTTTGCCGAAAACTAGTGCACTGAAATGGCTGGGTGAGTAGGTGCATTGTAGTGGTGGTAAAAGCAGTTCCCTGTCTTGTCACCTTTTTTGAAACAAGAAATCCATTATTCATAAACTTGAGTTTTTCCCTTAGCACTGCCCTAGCACTGTGTTCAACATCACAACAGTTTCTGTGGCATTTTTCCCAAGCAGGAGACAAAATTTCACTGCTGCATATTGTTCCTTAAATTGGCCATTATAAAAAACAAAGTTTGGGTGAGCTGTCTTTCATTAAAAAATTCACTGTGACCAGAGAGAACCTTCCCAGGCGATGCCACTGGGTGCACTAACTCAGAGCGAGTTGCTTGATGCTCCCCTAGTGGGAAACATTCATACTATGAAACCTCTGCTCTACCCAGCACCATTCCAGGATTTTTTTTACATACCCTATTGTATATCTAACAGTAGAGTTTTATATCTATATGAGGGACCACTGTGTTAGTCTGGGTAAACTACAGAAACAGATCCACAGAATCTCATGTATATAAGAGAGTTTTATATAAAGGGTAAATGAACATTAAGAAAGCATTCCAACCCAGTGCTGTCCAAGCCCACAAGTACAACATTAGCCCATATGTCCGACACCTATCTACAAAATCCTCCTCAATCTCACAAAACACACTCAATGATGCCGACTGCAGGAAGAAAGCCAAATCAGTGAGCGTGTAAGCATCTCAGCGCGGGCAGGGGTCTCCTTCCAGCTGCTCTAGCACCCAGGGCTGCATCAGGGTAGGTCCCCCTAACACTTGTTATTTTTCATTTTTCTGTATTAGCCATCCTGTTAGGGGGAAGTGGCATATCTGTGATTTTGATGTGTATTTCCCTAAAGACTAAAGATGCTGAGCCTCATTTTATGTATTTATTGGTCATTTCATATCTTCTTTAGTGAAAGTCTCTTGTCTGTTTCTTCATAGATTTGCCTTTTTGTGGTTGAGTTGAGGGAGTTTTTTTAAAAAATTCTGAGTCTTTAACCCCTACTGAATATATGTTTTCCAAAGATTTTCTCCCATTTGTAGATTGACCTCCATTTTGTTGATAAAGTTCTTTGATACTCAAGGTTTACATTTTGGTGAAGCTCAATTTATCTATTTTTGTGCTCGTTACTTATGCTTTGGGGTTCTTATTAAGAACTCATTGTCAAAAGCTAGATCCCGAAACATTAAGTTTTGTTAGAAGAGTTTGGTGCTATCGTTCATATGCTTAGGTCATTGATTCATTTTGTGCCAATAGATCATCTCAAATATGGTGTAAGGTACAGGTCCAACTTCATTCGTTTGCATATGGAGATCTAGTTGTCCCAGTAGCATATACTGAAGAGACTACTATTTTCCAACTAAGTGGACTTAAATTCTTGGTTGAAATAACTTGACCAAACCTATATGGGTGACTTCATTTTAAAAAAGTATTGTAGCTGCTTATAGATATCCTGATTGATGGCATATTGTATTTCAGTATTTCAATGTTATTGTTCTGTTTTGTTTTGGCTTGAATAGTTTTGTGTAAAAAATCAGGATTTAAAGTTGCCCCCCCCCAATCTTTTTAATATCTCTTACAAATTTTTATTGAGTGCTGGACATGATAGTGTGTACGAGAATATTAGAGAGTGAGGTTAATATTATTTCTGTCCAGAGGTGACCATACCTTTTTATCATTGTTAGGGCATAAATATGGAGGTTTTAATATATCTGGCCAGGGTGAGTTTTGTGTTTTATTGTGGCTAGTTACTGTCAGTGTGCCACAGACTTCAACTTCTTGTCTGAAGATGAACTGTGACTACTGTACTTAATATGGAATCTGTACTCCTGGTGGGCTTAACTTTATGTCATTTGCTCCACTCTCCACTTTCAATAAGTCCAGCATGCCTGGGCCACAAAGGAGTCTCTCTTTTTTTTTTTAAATTGTTTTATTAGGGGCTCATACAACTCTTATCATAATCTATGCATACATCAATTGTGCAGAGCACCTTTGTACATTCATTGCCCTCATCATTCTCAAAACATTTGCTCTCCACTTAAGCCCCTGGCATCAGGACCTCATTTTTTCCCCTCCCTCCCAGCTCCCCCCTCCCTTATGAGCCCTTGATAATTTATAAATTGTTTTGTCATATCTTGCCCTGTCCGACATCTCCCTTCACCCACTTTTCTGTTGTCTGTCCCCCAGGGAGGAGGTCACATGTAGATTCTTGTAATCGGTTCTCCCTTCCAACACACCCTCCCTCTACCCTCCCAGTATTGCCACTCACACCACTGGTCCTGAAGGGATCATCCGCCCTGGATTCCCTGTATTTCCAGTTCCTATCTGTACCAGTGTACATCCTCTGGTCTAGCCAGACTTGCAAGGTAGAATTCGTGTCATGATAGTGGGAGCGGGGAGGAAACATTTAGGAACTAGAGGAAAGTTGTATAAATTTTTATCGTTGCTACATTGCACCCTGACTGGCTTGTCTCCTCCCTGAGACCCCTGTGCAAGGGGATCTCCGGTGACCTACAAATGGGCTTTGGGTCTCCACTCCGCACTCCTCCCTCAAGGAGTCTCTTCTTCCTCCTTCTGTTCCCAGTAGGAGATCACTATGGGCTTGTTATTTTATTCAGTGCTCGGAGTTGAGGCAGGTGGGGTATTAGGCTCTTTTGCTGTATCTCAGCTTTAGGTAGGCTTGTTTGGCTGGGTGTCCGGGAGGGTATTCTAAATGTTCTTTTACCTACCATTCCTAACACCCACTCCCTTTCCCAGTGTCCCTGTACTGGTGGAAGCCCTTGAACTCTGGAGCAGGTTTTCTGCTCTTTCCCTAAGATCCTGGACAGGAGGGGGTTTTCGGCCCAACCCCAGCAGCCACGGGTTCTTTGCTCCCCCTCAGTGGCAGCTGGCCTTTGGTAGTGATTGGATGGTGGCAGATAGATTCCAACCTTTTGCCAGCAGCAGACAGATTTTGCTTTTACCCCTGTTTCATTAGCAGTGGAGCTTTTCCTTGGACAGCGTGTGTGTTTTAGAGAAGGATGCCTGTGCTGATTTGTATTATAATGTATCAATGTGTTTGTTCTTTTCCAGTTTAGGCTTGATTTCCGACTCTTTTCACATGTTTTTCGATAGCACTGCCATTTTGGCTGGATTGGCAGCTTCTGTTATTTCCAAATGGAGAGATAATGATGCTTTCTCTTATGGGTAAGACTTTTTAAAAATTTTTCTTATTGAAGTTCAAGTATACAGAAAAAGTATACAGATCTTAATTACTTTCAGTGAATTTTCATAAATTGGACCCATATGTATAATTTATGTCTTTAAAATCTCAGGCCCCCTGATACCTCTCTAAGATCGCAATTTTCTGACTCTGGATTAGTGTGGCTTTTTTAAAAATTTAAATCTTATGTAATTAGAGGCTGCAGTGTATACTTTGTTTTGTGAGTCCAAGTTGTTGTTGTTTTTTGGCTTAGTTGGTAGGGCATTTTGATTTTATTAGAACTCTCTAGGTAAGATTGTTACTATAAGGACTTTTTCAGCTCTTAACACATTTTTTTTTTGAAGAAAATTTCTGTATAATGGAAGTAAAAATGAAAATGTTTCTTGTATTTTTTACTTTTTCTTTTTGGAATGATATTTTGCTATTAAAATGTTCAAAATTGCTGTTGATTATATTTATATTATTCCTAATAGGGTTTATGTTATTTATCTCTTTTTGCCCTGTTTGCTTATAGAATACTTCTGAATTTGGACAGTTAATCATATATTTAAGAATGTCTTTTGTGCTGCATTGAATTGTCTCTTCTTCTTCTGAGTTGAATGGATACTCTTAGAAGCAGATACAGCTTTTCACCATCTTTGATAAAGGAAAGCAATGCATTTCCATTGTTTGACTTAGGCCGCGGGAGTCTTCCCTTGTCAGCGTCTGGACTATTGGTGCTCTGATTGTGTCTGTGTGGAAGCAAGGCTCAGATGAAAAAGACTTGCTTTCTTTCCAGGCCCCTTTCATTCCCTGCTTCCTGCTCTCCTGTCCACATGTCCATTCTCCCCTTTCCTCTTTCCTTTCTTTCTTACCTTGATAGTCTCTCATTTTCTCTCCCCTCCCTTCATCTGTCTTTCCTAAGTTCGGTTCCTTAAGCTGTATCCCAAACCTCATATTTATTCTCTTCCTCCCGTCCTCCCCCGAACGCCTCCCCCCGCCCTTTCTAGCATTCGGGCTGTTCTCGCAATCTTTGTCCCCCCTCCTGCCAACTCCTCCTTCTTGTCCTTTTCACCTTCGTCCCCCTTAACCTTTCTTCCTTTTCTCGTGACCTTTCCCTTTGCCTTGCACCACTTTACTTTTCAAGCTTGCACATTTTCCTCTCCACCTCTTTGAACTCTC